AAAAAAAAAAAAAACCACAGAATTAACCAACTGAACTACACACCTTAGTCATATGTCACCAATTTCTGGTCCCCCCCACCCTCCAGTGCTGGAGACTGAACTCAGTACCTCATACATGATATATACAAGCACTCTACTATGGAGATATACATCCAGTCCTAGTAATTTGCTTTATTTTGTTTTTAATGGTACTGGGGATTGAACTCAGGACCTTCACACAGAGCTGTATCACCAACCATTTTTTACTTTTTATTTTGAGACAGGATACCTAAGTTGCCCAGGCTGGGGTCCAACCTCCCCATCCTTTTGCCTTGGTTTCTCAGAGTGCTGAGATTACACATGCGTGCCACCGTATCCAGCCCTACCTTCTACTTTTTTAGTCATCATGTATTATACATTTAAAATGCTCTCTAGCAGGGTGTGGTGGCACATACCTGTGAGATCCAAGTGACTTACCTATTTGTCTCTTACTATCATTTCTGGGTTGCTCATTTTCTGGCCTTGAAACTTTGTGTACTTCAGCTGTGGAACAAGACATGCAAAGCAACAAATCAACTTGGTGTATATAACCAAAAAACTCTTGTCAAGTTAGAAATGGGGGGAAAAATCCCACAAAACAAAACCTGTATAATCCCCCCACCCCAAATCACACCTGGAAGCTTGAACATTATACTAAAGTCAGATTAAACCTAGAATGAACCCTATAAAGTAAAATCTTCTTAATAAGATGAACAGAAAACACTGATCAGTCAATTAAGGAACAATAAGTAGCTCAAGTTCTACCTCGCCTGTGCTCTTGATTCTCTATTGCTTTTTGGCTGGTAGATGGCAAAGGCCTGGTTGATACAGGGCTCCTTCTCCCAACTGGTGCTGGAGCAGGTAAGTGGGCCGAGGCGGTCTGTACTGCTTGCTCCATGGTTGGACTTTTTCTCAAAGGGTCTAACTGAGGGCTTGAACGACCTAAAATGTAACCAAAAGATAAGAAACTATCCTAACTAGGAATTTCAAAATAATCTAGCCCCCTTAAAAAAAAAAAAAAAAAAAAAAAAAAAAAAAAAAGAAAGAAAAAAAGAAAAAAAAGAAGAAAAGAAAAGAACAGTAGGGTTTTATTCCTAACAATTCAAATTTTTAGCAAAAATTAGAGTTAATCTACTTATTAGATCCAAATTCAAATCTGATTATTCTTAGTGAATGGGTCACTAAGCAACTGCTCCGGTAAGTTCTATTACAACAAAATAAAGCATGGGAAACCAAGGTAAATGGTTTCTAACTACCTAAGGCTGGGTCTTGTGTAATTAAACATCAAAACTAAAAGGCCAGCATCAAATCAAATAAGTCCTTCAGATAATATTTTATTTAATTTATTTATTTATTTTTGCGGAACCAGGGATTGAACTCAGGCCCTTGCGCTTGCCAGGGAAGCGCTTATTCCACTGAGCCATCTCCCTGGCCCAATATTTTATTTTTTAATGTATTTAGTACAGGGTCTTACTATGTAGATAGGACTTATAGTGATTCTCCTGTTTTCAGCCTCCTAAGCGCTGAGATTATAGGCATGCCACCATGCCAGGGATTGAACCCCAGATGCTGTGCTCTGCCTAAGCAGGAGCTTTAGTCCACTGAGCTATCTGGCCAGCCCTCCAGATAATTATACAGTAGCCATATTCATTCCTTGCACTGTATAGAAGTCTTGGTAAGTTTTAGGGAAATATGGGGTTTATACTAAATTTCCACTTTTCCTTTTATGATGTCAGATCCTTACTACTGTATGAACTGAAGAATATAACAGTACTTTCATCATTTTTTTGGTCCCTATACCACTGTACCAGAACATAATACTCTGCTTAAGTATTACACTCATTTTATGCAAAAATATTCCCACATTATCTGTTTGTGTATAAGGTTCCAAACTAGTAAACTGATAAGTGCTGTTAATATATTGATTTAGGAATAATTAGTAATACTTTCCTAAGTTTACATTTCATTTAAAGTATGCAATTACAAATACATATTATCACTTCTAGCCATTAATGGCTAAATCACTTTAGCCAAAACATTTAAATTACCATTAAAACATTCAAAAATTAAAGCTGGGTATGGTGGTGCATGCCTGTAATCCCAGCATTTAAGAGGCTGAGGCAGTTGCTAGTTTGATACCAGCCTGGACTACAAAATGAATTCAAGGCCAGCCTGAACTCTGTAGCAAGACTCTGTCTCAAAAAACCCATAAAGATTAAAAAATTAAGTTTCATTAATAGAAAAACTATCTCCATAAAAATTATAAGGGAAAATCATGATGGTTTATATAAATTTTGGTCTATAAGAAAATAATCATAAAAGAGTCATAGATATATAGACATAGACAGACAGACAGGAAGGAGTCTATGTTGCCCTGCCTAGCCCTGAACTTCTGGATTGAAGCAATCTTTCTGCTTAAACCTTCTAAGTAGCTAGGACTACAGGCAACTGCTGCTACATGTCCGCCTTTTTCATGTGTTAATTTTTTAAAAAGCCTATTGCTATAGTTAATTTTACAATACATTACATAATCTTCTAAAGTAGTTTTAAAAACTACTTTATGAAGTCTTTCTCTTTGAGAAAAGATACTGTGATTATACATGGAATGGGGTAATCATTTTGTATCAAATTTATTTAAATTTTTTTATTATAATCATGATGCCAATTTTGCTATAAGTGGAGAAATACAGGAGATGTGGACATAGTAACAATAGATCCAGAAACTGTTTCAGCACAGCAAGAACACAGCTCCTTGAGTCATTTTCACATTCTTATTATAGGTAAGGAAATTCCAAATGTTTTGTGAAATTCATAATTTTTAGCTAGTGAAATTTTAACATAGACTCCTACATTATCTTCTAAAATACTGTTATGTAGGACTGACTGAGGACACAGCTCAGCGGCATAAGTGCTTGCCTTGCAAGTGCAAGGTTCTGAGTTTGATCTCGGGGAAGGAGGGAAGGAGGGAAGGAGGGAAGGAGGGAAGGAAGGATAGACAGACGGAAAAAAAGTCTTATGTAAATATATCTCTAACTTTCTTTTATTAAAAATGAGTAACTTTTTCCCTTTGGTACTGGGGATTTGACCCAGAGCTTCACATGTATTATGCAAGGACTCTACCTACTAAGTCACATCCCCTGTTCCTTTTAAATTTTGAAGCAGGGCCTTGTTAAATTCTCCAAGTTTGGGTTGAATTTGTGGTTATGTTGCATTTGCATCCCAGCCGATGGGATTGCAGGCATGTGTCACAACAAATTGACACTTTAATCTACTTTTGTCAGGGGATGGTGTGCTGGGGACAGAAACTAGGACCTCACATATGCTGGGCAAACATTCTACTCCACAGCTACCTCGCTCTTCTTATCTCAAAATGTACTCTGGCACTGCTTTATCTTACATGTATTTTACTTTCAAGCAGGTAAAGCCATTACTTTCATTTTTCAAGTATGTCCTGCTGTATGCCCACATTTATTCTAGAGATAATCTTTCCGATTAAAAGTACAATAAATTTAATTAATATGAAAAATAAAGTCTCAGTCCTCAATCTTTTACTTGACATTTTTTCTCACAGAAGTTGGTTATATGTCTTATGTACTTCATAACTTCTATTTTGTCACTACAGTTAGCCATTTATTTCTGTTACATTGCACAGGATGTTTTAAGAATTACTGAATTTTGTAGTTACTTTATATTTCACCTCTAACTTAAGTCCCTCCCCTATTTTTGTTTTTCATTAAATGCTCAATTCCAAGCAGAAAATTAGTAAATAGTGGTAATTTCAATATTTAAGCCTCATATTTACGTTCTTATGTATACTTGATATAGCTGAAAATTAAAGGAAAAAAATGAGTAGCAGCAATACCAGATGCCTGCATTTATATTAATATTGTATTAGAATTTTTCTGGGGGTTCAGTACTAAGTTTGATGTTGGCTAGGGGTTAGGTTGCCTAATCTATGCTTAGCATGTTCTATGCAGTAGGGATGATGTATGTATGAATACATGTTCTGAAAATCTAATTCTTATGTAAGTCTGATAGCTTCCAGGAAAGTCTCATTTTATAGTTTAAGAAACTAGTCCTTAGAAAGATTAAGAACTTTCTAATTAAATCAAGAATTCTAAGGGCTGGCCAGATAGATCAGCAGACTAAAGTGCCTGCTTAGGCAGAGCGCAGTGGCAGGGGTTTGATCTCCTCCTGTCATACCAGCCCTGTCCCTGGCGAGGTGAGGTGAGACAATGACTGAGATTGGGTGTGGTGGCAAGCCTATAATCCCAGCATTTAGGAGGCTGAAAACATGAGAATCACTAAGTCCAATCTATGTAGTGAGACCCTATAGATCCTGTCCTAAACACGTTAGAAAAACAAAACAAAACAAAACAAACCCCCCCCAAAAAATTCTAAAGTATATATACCTATAATAAGATATTTTAGGTCCACACAAATAATAGCTACTATTTCAAAATATCTGAGATATATAGGGTTATGCTTACATTGGCTTGATTTTTAAAGTCAACAGCTTGGCTGGGGAGATAGCTTGGTAGAATAAGTGCTTGCCTGGCAAGTACAAGGTCCTGAGTTAAATCCCCCGTACCACAAAAATAAGTAAGTAAATAAATAAATAAAATAATAAAGTCTACAGCTTTTTAAAATTGTAAATATGCCAACTTTCTGAAATAGCCTTATATTTTATTATTAAAAAGTAAATATTTGGGTTGGCCAAATAGCTCAGTGGATTAAAGTACCTACAATGAGGCACATGGGCCGGGGCCAGGGATTTGATCCCCAGGCCTGCCTGCTGGCCCCAACCCCAGGTTGTGCCGAGATGGCAATTGTGAGTGGGCTTGGTGGCACACGCCTATAATCCTAGCTCTTAGGAGGCTGTAAAACAGGAGAATCACCATAGGTCTGATCTAGTAGTGAGACCCTGAACACCCAGGAGACCATTCCCTAAAATACAATAAATAAATAAATAAACAAATATTCATGAAAAGCAATGAATCAATAATACCCACTTTAGTTAGTGGTTAAAAGAAGATATGGGATTATGAGACTAGCTAATACAAAACAACTGGAAAACTAAAACAGTATTCTTTACAAAACTTATTAAAATGCAAATCCCTAAGTTCAAGGGATTCTGATGTAGTAGGTCTCAGGACTTGCTGATGGTTACACACTGAGAATGAATGTTCGATAGCCTATGGGGATTTTATGGAAGTTTTTTTTTTCAGAGGATTTTTCAAATTCATCTAGGATAACTCTCATTTTCAATGGTACATCTAGAACTAGCCTGATACATTATTATTTGTTACATAATTGCTCTGTAAATAAGTCAAATTTAGAGAACGCTCACCAGTTCAGTTTCATAATCTTAGAATTGTAAAAGGTGTAAAGAGTACAAGTTAATTCGATAATACGTCAATTGGTAGAAAGATTTTAAAGAGAATTCATCAGAAATTATACATGTAATTTACAAACTATAAAAGCTCTTACATTCAGATAAAATCTTTTATGGAAACTTAGAATAAAAGTATTTGAAGAGAAAAACTGCTTACCTTGAGATAACTGTGTCTTTATAGATCTTGTATCCTGCGTAAAGGCAGATCCAACTGCACTACTTTGGGACAAGGTACCGCTGTTTGACGTTTCTGATCCAAAGGACGTCAAGGAGCTTCCAGCTTCAAGAAATATTTTTGAATGAAAAAAAAAATTAATGTTTTCATCTTCAGTTACATAAAACTGTGCAGAATTTTGATTAACTGCCTATACCCTCTCATAGAACTTGTATAAATGAATAATCCTGGAAATTGAAGCGCATGAAGTAATAGTTCAGGCAACGTATGGCAATACTGGGTCAAAAAAAAAAAAAAAGGCAGGGCCAGGGAGATAGCGCAGTAGAATAAGCATTTGCCTGGCAAGCGCGGGGCCCTGAGTTCAATCCCTGATAACAAGAAGAAAAAAAAAAAAAAAAGCCAATATATAGCCATGTCTGGTATCCTCTGATGTGCATGATATTTAGGTTTTTTTTTTTTTCCTCCTTTGGTACCGGGAATGGAATTCAGGTCTTTGCACTTGTCAGGCAGGCACTATGCCACCGAACTGTCTCTAGCCCTGCGAGCAATTTTTATAGTGCACAGTAATGTAGTTATGTTGGTACCACAAAGAAGATATAAGACAGTAAAATAACAGAAATGGTACATTTTAAACCAAATTAAGTTCAAATTATTTTAATACTAAGTATCTTCACAAATAGCCAACTCAGCAAACAAGTATACTAGGGAGATTTGTCATTTCTGAGGCAACACACAATAACAACTCCAGCATTAATGCTTCCCTTAAGATGGAATGTGGGACTGTATCTAGCCTAAAGATGTCATAAAAACATTGAGTAATAAAGTCTCTTTAAACTTGTTTTTGAGTTAGGGCCAATGTAGTCCACACTTGTCTTAAATTTGTGAAGGTCCTGCCTTGGGTTACTGAGTACTGGGATTTCAGAACTCCAGGTAAGCAGTCTGCTGGAAAGTGATAGCACATGCCTGCAACGCCAGCTACTGTTTATTTCTATTTCTATGCTGCTCTGTGCTTCTTCACCCATTCAACCTTCCTCTGCTGACCCCAATACATTCAATGATCTCCATTTCTTCTGAGTTCAAGTTCCGAGTTCACACTAAAGCCCCCTTCTACTTGCCACAATCCTATTTCATTTTTCTCTTTTCAAAAAGCTTTCTGAGTGCTGGGATTATAAGTATCTGCCATGTCTGGCCTGAGATTCTGTCTTTAGTTTTTGTTTTTTGATATCAACATTTTGATATTTTGAGTGCAGGCTGGTACCAAACTTGTGTTAATACTCTTGCCTCAGGTGACAGAGTCCTGGGTTTAGAGGTATACATGACCTGGCCAGATCGTGTCTTTAAAAAATAAATGAAATATAAATACAAAAAGTTTTGCAAGCAATATATGATCCCAATTATAACTATTCCACACTACCCTTAACAGTGTAAGAGTAGTCATAAAAGCCAGGTGTGGTGGCACACACTTGAAACCTAAGCACATGGGAGGCAAGTTCATGGCCAGTCTGCATTACAAAGTGGGACCCTGTCTCAAAAAACAAAAATAAACTAAAAATAAAGCCACAGAAAACATGTAAATAAATGGGTATAGCTGGGTTCCAATAAAACTTCATTACTTTTAGTATAATTCCCTTCTTTTCTAGTTTTTTAAGCTGGCAGCTTAGAGTACTGATTTCAAAAAATCTTACTTTTTCACTGTACACATTTAAAGTTACAAGGCATCCTTATAACTTTATATCCTTAAGCAATGCTTTCATTTCACCTACAAGTTTTTGACATTGTATTTTAATGGTTACTAAATAATTATTATTATTTTCAGTACCAGAGATTGAACTCAGGACCCTGCGCTTGCCAGGCAAGCATTTATTCTACTGAGCTATCTCCTTGGCCCCTTAGAAATTATTTTAACTTAAATTTTTTCTCATGACTTCATCTTTGATATATTTGTAATTAATCAATTCATTCCATTTCAAATTATTTGAAGATTTTTCAAATCACCTTTATTAATCTCAAATTTAATTTCTGTGTGACTGAGAAGATATACTGGTTTTCAAAGTAACACACTGAGGTTTATTATTAAGACTTTCTAAACTGACCCCTGAATTATGATAAAGAATCTCTCTCTATCTGTTAGCACTACTGTTGTTTTTTTTTTAATCTGCGCTGTCCATCATTAACATTTAACAGTTTTCCTTTTATTGTTTATCATATCCTTTTTATTATTATTTTTTCCTCCATTTTTACACCCAGGGACTTCACACTGAGTTATATCTCTAACCCCTTTTAAATTTGAGACAGGGTCTTACTAAATTGCTCAGACAGAGTTGCGTGTGCTGGTGCATTCCTATAGTCCCAGCACTTAGGAAGCTGAGATAGAAGGAGCACCAAGAGTTTGAGGCCAGCTGACTACACAGAGTTCAAGACCAGCCTGAACTACAAAGTGAAACCTTATCTCAAAAGCAAAAAACCAAACAAAAACTGTTCAAGCTGTGCTTGAACTTGTCATGATCTTGCTTCAGCCTCCCAGAGTGCTGTGATTTTAACTATGTGTCACCTCACCCAAGCTCCCTTTTTCTTTTTTTTTTTTCGGGGGGGGAGGGGGACCAGGGACTGAACTCAGGACCTTGTGCTTGCCAGGCAGGTGCCCCTTCCATTCTCCATTTCACTGCGTCCTTCAGAAACATTAGGACTGAGCATGGTGGCACTCTAATCCCAGCAGTTGGGAGGTTGAGATAAGAGGATGTCTATGAGTCTGTGATCAGCCTGGGGCTACAAAAGTGAGCACAAGCCCAGACCAAAC